AATCATACACATCATGCAAACCCAAAAAGTGTCATCAGGAGTGGTTTGCTGGAAAAAACCCTATGAATCTTGAGAAACAAACGGACGTTTTTATGGGAACATTTTCTAATGAATATTTCATTTATACGTGGTGGTCTTATATTTTCGCATGATGTTCCCATTAACACCTCTATTTTAAGTTGTTTTTCCCATATTTCCCCATTAACATCTCCATTGATCTGTGATGTTCTGATATTTTCCATGGAATTTCCCATTAAAACCTCCATTCTTGAGGTGTTTCCCATATATTTCCCCATGGATTTTCCCATCGAAAAACTCCATGTTTCCACCATTTGTTCCTCAGGTGGTCCCTGATGGCATGGAATTCGTCTTCGCCGTGCGCGAGGCGATGTCCCATGGGATTTCCATGGGAAAACCTATGGAAAATACAGGGGAATCACGAAAAAATTGCGGTTTATAGCTGAAAAAAACATGTATATTTAAAAAAAAACATCAAAGATTGGGTCTTAAGATTATAGTTTTTTCAAACAGAAGGTCACAATTTTGATTCTTGTGCTAACCCCACAGGAAAAAAAATTCACCTCATGGGAACGCTGAGAACTTAACCGATAGAAAATGGTATGTTTCTTTGGCATTTTCTATGGCAACACTATGACTCATTGGCTGAATCCAGAAACGCAGGGCAAATCGCCATGGAGGCCATGGAAACCATGGCCGCTTCCCCATGTGAAAAGTCGGAAGGTCAAGCCCCAGACTATGGGGATTGCTATTGAAAATGACAATAGAAATAGTTGATTTACCCAGAAAAAATGGTGATGTTCCATGGTTATGTTAGTTTACCAGAGGGTAATGCCACCCCACTATTCGCAGATCATTTTCCAACCGGGTTTCCTCGTGGTTTTTCCAGATCTTTGTATATGTTTACCCCAGGATATATGAACCATGAATATGTTATTGATATTCCATTCATGTCACCACATACCACCATTGTTGTTGGGTTCAATCCGAATTTTTGTTGGTAAAATTCTGATGTTTGTTGGTCAAGTCACCCATTTGTCAAAGATTAGCGGTGCTTGGTGTTGTCTCCGATGTCTGACCCTAAGCACCGGGCAGGTCCTGACGGTGGTTCGGCAAGAGCCGGGGATGCCTAGCGCCGCCACTGGTTAATGTTTAAGAATGGCTAATAATTGTTTGAGATACAGGTAACAATGGCTTAATATTGGTTAATAAAAGGTAAATGAATGGTTAAAAACTGATTAACTATTGATTACTTTACTTCGTGTGATCCCCACCATGACATTTATACATTTTCTTACTGGCAAATCTTCTGGCATTCTATCTGACATATCTTCTGACATCTTCTGACATTCTATTTGGCATTCTATCTAGCATATCTTCAGGCATTCTATCTTCTGGCATTCTATCTGGCAAATCTTCTGGCATTCTATCTGGCATATCTTGTGGCATTCTATCTGACATATCTTCTGGCATTCTATCTGGCATATCTTTCTGGCATATATTCTGACATATCTTCTGGCATTCTATCTGGCATATCTTCTGGCATTTCTTCTGGCATATCTATCTGGCATATCTTCTGGCATATTTTCTGGCATTCTATCTTCTGGCATTCTATCTGGCATATCTTCTGGCATTCTATCTGGCATATCTTCTGGCATTCTATCTGGCATATCTTCTGGCATTCTATCTGGTATATCTTCGGGCATTCTTCTGGCATATCTTCTGGCATTCTATCTGGCATATCTCATGGCATATCTTCTGACATTCTATCTGGCATATCTTCTGACATCTGGCATATCTTCTGACATTCTGTCATATCTTCTCATGACATATCTTCTGACATTCTATCTGACATCTTTTCTGACATTCTTGCCGTTGAGGTCCGGCAGTGCCCACTGCGATCTGGAAGTCGCGGTTGAGGTCCGGCAGGGAACACTGGGCGTGGATGGTCGTGGTTGAGGTCCGGCAGGGAACACTGGGCGTGGATGGTCGTGGTTGAGGTCCGGCAGGGAACACTGGGCGTGGATGGTCGTGGTTGAGGTCCGGCAGGGAACACTGGGCGGGGATGGTCGTGGTTGAGGTCCGGCAGGGAACACTGGGCGTGGATGGTCGTGGTTGAGGTCCGGCAGGGAACACTGGGCGTGGATGGTCGTGGTTGAGGTCCGACAGAGAACACTGTGGATCGCGGGTCGCAGTTGGACGAGGAGGACGACGAGGAGGACGACGAGGAGGAGGAGAGGAGATGAGGAGAGGAGAGGAGAGGAGGAGCAGGCAACTGACATAAAATCTAACAACCCTCACCTGGCAGGTGGGGAATAAAGGCCAGATAAAGGTAAATCAATAGTTAATGATGATTAATAATGGCTAGTAATGGCTTTTTGTCAGGGATAGTCTTTGGTAATCAGCTGGCATGGCAAGCTGGGAAATCCCCGAACTGATTGCCGGCGAGTTTACTGTGGGAACATCATGGGCCTCATAGGGGGAAAAAAGGTATCATGGAAACATCATAAGAATATCAATGGGATACCACCTTTTGGTAAACAGGCACAAGCTATTGAATCCATTTGACAGTTTATTTCACACATATTCTGACCTGTTGTTTGGTATTTTGCCTCACACATATTCTGACATTCTATGTTCTTATATCTCACATTTATTCTCACATTCTGTTTGGCATATGTTTGGACATTCTATTTGACATATATTATGATATTCTTTGGCATTTATTTGGCATTATAGTTTATGTTTCATTTGCAATTCTGTTTGGCATTTGATCCGGCATTCTATCTGACATTTTAGCTGACATTCTATTTGGCATGCTATTTGGCATGCTATTTTGCATTCTATCTGGCATTCTATTTATCTATTTGGCATTCTATTTGACAATTGTTGTCAATCAAAAAACATATTTTCCCCTTATATCAAATAGTTCCACCCAATCGAAACCATGGTTTAGTATTAGATTTGTTCATGAAATCGGCAGGGTTACATAAGATCACAAGGGGATATTTAATGTGAAACGGGAACCTCCAAACATACTACATAGCTGTTTCCTTTCTGCACCAGCCACGACAGGTCACATCATGATCAACTCATTTCCAATTCATTGCCTCGCACAGGGCGCCCTTTTCGGATCAAAAGAGCTGCTGTCTCTCAGCTTCGCCGCAAGACTGAGTTTGATGGTAAGCGGAGCCGGTTGGTAACCGGTGTCTGCTTCCGTGCTGCGCCCTGTGGCGTGCACGGGCTCGCCGCGCCTCGACGCGTTGCGTCTCAGCTGGCAGGCAACGGTGCCTACTAGCCTTGCTGGTGCCCGCAGCCTCGCTGCCGGTGCCTCACGACCACAACGATGGCAACTAGCAGATTGGAGTCAGACCGCTACGGCGTTCCCCAATATGCCGGAGCCTCTGACCAGTTCGAAGAGTACAAGGAGAGAGCATGGGATCTTTGGTATGGCAGAGCTGGCCAAGATGCTTTGCAGAGTTCCACACCTGTTCACCTCCGAGCAGGACTGTCTAGTTCAGCTTGGGAAGCCGTTAGAAAGCTAGAACACACGAAGCTGATAACCAAAGATGCAGAAGGAAAACCAACCACTGAAGGCACGGACTTGCTTTTAGAAACGTTGAAATCAGCCATAGCTGATGAAGTGCCAGTGAAAATCAACGAGTTGTTTTTGCAAGCCTTTTACAGCCCCAGTGTTTGGAGGCGACCTTCCGAAAACATGCAAGCCTATATTGTTAGGCGTGAGCAGGACTCCCGCAAACTTGAGGAGTCAAGCCCTGGAACTAAGGTATCAGAAAATCTCCGAGCGATGATGCTGCTGATTTTTGGTGGACTTGACCCGAAAGAGCAAGTTTCTGTCCTGAGCTCCGTCAACAATGAGTATGACTTCGGCAAGATCAGCCATGCGATGCGGATTCAGTTTCCGAATGCAGCTGGTAAGGCAGTTCAGAGAAAGGACTACCTTGGTGCTTCAGCTCGAGGCCATGCCCCATCTTCCTCGAGTTCCTTGCTGTTCAGAAAGCCGAGATGGAAATCTGGTGGCAAGCAACACGCCTTTGCAGCTGAAGACTATGAGATGGAAGATGAAGAGACCGCTGAAGACACCTACTACCAGAATGATGATGATGAGCAGCCGGGCGATGACGCTGATGAAGCCTGGGCTGCAGCCTCTGATGATGAGCTGGTGGATGCCTTCATAGCCGAGTACCCTGATGACCCTGAAGGTGATCAGTCGCTTGCCGAGGCCTATGCGACTGTCCTCCAACACAAGCAGTTCAAGAAGAAGATGGGTGGAGGAAAAGGGAAAGGCGGTGGAGGTGGAAGATTCAACTTCAAGGGCTCTGGCGAGGTGACCTTCGACGCCAAGGCCAAGGAGAACAGGCGACAAGCCGTGCAGTTTCTCAAGTCAGTGACGCCTTGCACTTCCTGTGGACAACGTGGACATTGGAATGGAGATGACATCTGCCCCAATGCCAAGAAGTCGTCCAAGGGTAAATCCAAGAAGAAGCCTTCGACGCCGAGCTCACCGAAGAAGAAGCCTGCGACCAACCTTTTCGTTTTGCATGATTCTTTGGAGTCTGCGGATGAGAAGACCCAGTTCATGTGCCTTCCCAACAAGCTGCCCAACAATGACGTTGCAAAGAATGTCAAGACTTCCGAGTTTGACCTTGCTCTCAAGAATGACCTGTGCCTTGGGAATGACATGCCTCCCAAGTATGACCAGGTGCCTGCGAATGACATCGCTCCTGTGAATGACATGGCCCATGAGTATGACTTGGTCCCAAAGACCATTGCAGCCCATGTCACCAACGAGCCCAATGCGTATGCGGACGAAGCGTCCAAAGCCTCTGATGCCACTTTTGTCAATGACCGCACAGTCCTCTTTGAGTCAGAGGGTGGCAACAATTCAGATGGCAGTTTCACTACTCCCTTTTCGTTTTCATCAGTGCATGAGGTGCTGATGGTGCTGAAAGATACAACCCTGTGCGAGCATAGTAGTTTTCATGGTGGAGATGAGCGCCAATTCCACCGTGGCGCAAATGGATACTCACGCTTTGTGACGTGCAAGGAAGACTCTTGCGACAAGACCGTCATCAAGGCCAAGCGCAAAACACCTCACGAGCTCTGGAGCTACTTGGTCCAGATCGCCTTGTGCACCAAGTGGGGACAAGCTGCCAGGTCCCGAGCTTTGTTCAACAACGTCTGCAAAGTTCGAAGTGAAGCTGATGAAGAACGACGTGGTCTTCGCCTTCCTCTTTCAGATGATGGCCGATCAGTTTCTTTGCCTGGTATGCCAAGGTCTTCGGCCGCAATGACTTCAAGAAAGACGCCTTCTGAAGCTCAAGTACCTGGATGGGATGTCGTCAGTGAAGCTCCCTCGAGCGCTTCTGGCTATGGTGCTCCACGGGTGGCCAAGATTGTCCGTGAGCAAGAACCAGTTTGCTGGATCTACGGCATCAAGCTTTCCATGAACCAGGACTTGCCTGCGTTTCCAACGCTGGATGACTCAGACCTTGATGTGCTGCAGCCTCTGCCTTCAGATGCCTCCTTGCTTGGCTCTGGAACACCCTATGAAGGACTGCAGTATGACCAAGTTGCGTCCTCAGCAGAGTCTGCATGGTACTGTGCCCAAGTGTTGGACTATGTTTTGGATGGCCGAAATGCTCTCCATCCAGAAATCTACCGTTTTGCCTTTTACCTGTTTGGCCGGGTGAAGTTGGTCCACAGCGCTGGCATGAGATGTATCAAGTCAGGTGCTGCACGTCCTGACAAGCGACCTGCAAACCCTGATGACATGGTGGCAAACCGCCACATCCGAGTTCCACTTCAGCATGATCCCAACCACCCTGAGATCATGCAACTTCATGACTGTGAAGTGATGATGGTTGAAATGCCCGATGACAATGATGCAATTGCCCAAGCCTATGTGGCTTCCGATGCTGATTCTCCTGGACTTGCAATCCTCGACAGTGGGTGCACTCGCACCATGCACGGCAAGCAATGGGCCGAGAACTTTGAAGCTGCACTTGCCTCCTTTGGACTTTCGCCCAAAAGCAGAGTCAAGAACCAACTCTTTGCTGGGGTTGGAGGTCAAGTTGCCAGCACCACTGTCAAGGTCTTTCCCATCGGCATCCAAGGAACCCATGGCGAGATCCACTCAGCCGAAACACCTGGAGCAACACCACTCCTTCTCTCACGCCCTTTCATGGAAGAACTGGGTACGGTTTTGGATTTGGGCAAGGGCACGGTTTCCTTCACCAAGATCGGCGTTTTGGACTTGCCGCTGATCAAAACCTCACGTGGACATCTAGCAATCAGTTTTCTGGACTTCAATTTGGAGAAGTTAGATGATTTCACCACTGAGGATGCTCATGAAGGATACCTCCAAGATGAAGTTCCCGAAGATTATGTTCATGATCCCATGTTGGATCGACCTCCTGGCGTCAATCCTGATGATTGGCTTGACCAGCAGTATGAACTGGAGTTCTTGCGTGCCGAGGCAGCCAACTGTGATCAAGTTTTAACTGAGATCGCTGCCGACCGAGAAGCACGTGCTGCTGCTCAAGGGCTTCATGCTGCCCAAGATGATGGCCCAACTTGCGAGGATGCGTTGCTGTTTGAGTCCCTCATGCAAGAGCAGCCCAACACCATCCGGAAGGCCACTCACAAGAAGGCCAAGAAACTCCATGCAATGTCCAATAACGTTTACGGCGATGATTGGCGTTTCTTCCGGGTGTTGGCCGGCAAGACTCCAGCTCCGAAGTCACCTCCCTATGGAAAGTGCTGGATGAAACAGCTCTTTGCAGGACAAATGGGTTTGACTCTCCTGCTTGTGGCATATGGACTTTCGGTTGGAGTGCCTTTGGACTTTAGCACTTCCAGCTGGGATGCCACTACCAAGGATGGACTTCGGCGCCTCAACCATGACTTCCAAGTTGAGGATCCCTACTGCACTGTCCTGACACAACCTTGTGGTCCTTGGGGCAATTGGGCACGATTCAACGTAGCCCGCGGTGGTCCTGCCGCATTGACAGTTCTTCAACTGCAAGAACGTGGCCGACCAATTCTGAAGTTGGTGAACGACACGATTTGCAAGCGTGTCAAGGCCAAACGACATGTCTTTGTCGAACAGCCCTCTGGATCCTCATGGCTTGATGAGCCTGAACTTGAAGGTGTCAGAGCGTTGATTCAGTCCGGTGACTTGATCGTCATCAAGGCTCATGGATGTCAACTTGGCTATGAAGATGCTGATTCTGGACTTCCTCACTTCAAGCCTTCCACTTACGTGACATCCATGATAGCAGCAGAAAGCCTTTTCCAAGATTCCTCTTGCGATGGTTCTCATCAACACCAACACCTTGAAGGAGCCAACTCTCAAGGTCAACGCACTGCCCAAGCCTCAGTTTGGCCTGACAAGCTCAACAAGCGTGTGTTGGAAACCATCGTGCAACAAGCTGCGATTGAGCAAGCAGCCCATGAACAAGCTCAAGATGCTTTTCCTGCAGAAGTTCGCCGACTTCCTCAAGTCGGAAAGAGTCCTAAAAGAAGGAGGAAAGGACGGGTCACCACCTTGACCAGCCAATATGGTGGAGCCCCTCCGGTCTACCTGAGACCATCTGGACCACTTCAGCCTGCGATCCAAGATGGAGATCCATTTGCTGAAGTTCCTCCTGACGAAGACGATGCTGATGTGAGGGCACGACAAGCCTCTCAACTTGAGCCTTTGCTCCATCGAGCTGAAACCCAACGACGTGAAGAATGGCTCAAGATCGACCCTGACATCCGCAAGATTCTCAGAACTTTGCATGTCAACTTCGGCCATCCCACCAACATCACCTTGCAGAGGATTCTCCGCCGACAAGGTGCAAAACCAGAAGCAGTTGCTGGTGCCGAGTTGTTGTCATGCGACGCTTGCGGTGAAAGTATCAGAAGGCGACGTCCCAAACCAGTTCGCCTTCCCAACAAGTATGTCTTCAACAACCACTTGCTTGTAGATGTTTTCTATGGAAAGGACATTGAGAACGAGTCTTTTTGCTTTCTCAATGTGATTGATGATGCGACTGGATTCCAAGTTGTCAGCTGTCTTGGAACTGTTCGTGGCCCACCTGCGTCCAAAGCTGTTCTCAGGCATTTTCTGACGTCATGGACTTCATGGGCAGGCCTCCCTCAGTCGATCCAAGCTGACTTGGGGAAAGAATTCATGGCTGATTTCACTGCCTACATGAAACAGTTTGGCGTTGAAACTGAGAACATGCCGCTCGAAGCCCCATGGAAGAGCGGAAAAGTTGAACGAGCCGGTGGCCTATGGAAGGACATCCTCCTGCGGACTGTCCATGAGATGCAGCTGCGTGGTCTGGACGACATGATCCTCGCCACGTCCATCATCACTCAATGCCGCAACTCCTTTCCCAGAAGCAACGGCTACTCGCCGAACCAATGGGTTTTAGGCCAACCAGAAATCAGACTGCCTGGCTCACTTTTGAGCGACGAAGAATCCCAGCGTTTGGAGATTCTTGAGGCCGCTGAAGACCCAAAGTCAGCAATGGCCAAAACTTTGAGTATCAGAGAAGCCGCAAAAGTTGCCCAGATCAGACTTGACACTGACTCTCGTGTGCGACGCGCTTTGCTTCACCAGTCCACACCTACGAGAGGGCCTTTTCCTGTGGGAAGCTATGTTTACTTCCTCCGGCTTCAGATGCCCAAAGGCAGTCGACGAAACTACAAATGGTTTGGTCCAGCCCGAGTCATTGGCTGCGAGCTCAGATCTCCCACTCGACTTCAAGATGATGAAGAGCTTCCCACCGATGGTGGACAACCCAGAAGCTATTGGCTCAGGTATGGTTCATCAGTTGTTTTGGTGACAGGTGAACAATTGCGTTTTGCCAGTGAAGATGAGCTGATTGCCGCTCACACAATCCCACAAGAAGTTTTGGAGCCTGAATATGCACGAGGAGCAAGAAACTTTGTTGACCTGCGAGGTCCACTTGCTGTCCCTGCTCAACCTGAAGATCAAGGACCTCTTGCACTACCAGCTCCAACAACTGGACCACCTGTCCTACCTTTTCCTGCGACTGCCGATGAACCACAGTCTCCTGGATACTCTCCCAGCGAGTTTGCACCTGATGCTGAAGGAGATCAACCCATGCAGCCGACTCCAACAGTGAATGATGAAGTTCCTCAAGCTCCTGCTGATCCTCCTGATCAGACAATGGGTCACGATGACCAACCGCAACAACCTGCCCATGGCCGGCAGATGAGCACGATTTCTGGAAACCCTGAACCAGAACCACAGCCAGTGAACACACCAACAGGTCAGGCACAACTTGGACTTGGACTTCAGCCTGTACCTGTCCCCTTTCTTGCACCTCAGACTGGCAACCTCCAAACAGCACTTCGAGATCCAGATCGTCTTGATGGCTATCGAGCTGTCCAAAGACAACATGGTCAACAGCCACAGCGACCTTACTTTGTAGAAGACGATGATTTTGAGTGCGAAACAATGCCTTCCGTTTTGAAGGGCAAGCGTTTGGAGAAGATGCTCAACTTTGAGGATGAGGCGTTTTCCCCATCCCAGTCAGAAGAAGAGCAAGAACAATGTTTTGTGGAAGTTTTTCAAGGGCCAGGTGATGTTTTTCTCACTGGAAAAGCTGTGCGATCTGAGATTTCTTTGAAAGATCTTTCACCAGAAGATCGTGCCAAGTATGATGTCAGTATGGCGAAAGAGTGGTCATCCTGGCAAAAGTTCAATGCTGTGGAAGTCCTTTCACCTCAGCAGATTGAGGACCTGCCCGAAGATGCCAAGATCATCGGGACCAGATGGGTCCACACTGACAAGAACCAGAAAAAGCGCCTCATGTCTGCCGCTCTTCAAGGCAGAACTGGAAAGTCACAAACTCAAATTCAGAAAGAGTTTCCACTGGAAGCGAAGAGCCGTTTAGTTGTCCAAGGTCACCAAGAGACCGACACAGGTATCAGAAGCGATTCACCAACGGCCAGTCTTCTTGCTTTCAATTTGGTTTGTGCAGTTGCTGTTATTCAGAAGTGGATTGTCATGGTTTGTGACGCATCCACTGCCTATCTCCAATCAAATGGCATCAGCCGCTTGCTGCTGCTCAGGCCACCGAGACCACCTCCTCCTGGAATTTTGCCTCATGATCTTCTTCGAGCTCTTGGCTCAATTTATGGTACCAAAGATGCTGGCAGAGCTTGGTGGAAGAAGCTCTACAAAACCCTGAGGTACTACAACTGGATCATGTCGCGCCTTGAACATGCGCTCTTTTTCCTGGTGGTCGATGGAAAACTTTGTGGCATTCTCATCACACATGTCGATGATTTGTTTTGTGCTGGAGAAGGTAAACAGTTTCATGATTCCATTGAGGCCATGCAAAAGGACATCTATTTAAAGATCAACAAGGGCAAGTTTCGTTTTTGTGGGAAGAACGTTTTTCAACGTGATGATTTTTCCATTGAGGTTGACCAGTACGATGCCATCGAGGCGATCGACTACATGGTGCTTGCCGCTGACCGGCGCAAAATGGTGAACAGCCCCTTGACGGAGGCAGAGCAGTCTTTGTTCAGAGGCCTCATAGGCCAGATGGGTTGGGTCACTCGCCAGTCTAGGCCAGACCTCATGGTGAATGTTAGCGTTGCAGCCCAAAGCATGAGTTCCCCAAAAGTGAAGGATGTGATCAATTTGAACAAAGCAGTGAAAGCCCTCAAAGAGAGCTACGAAGCCAAATGGAATTTCATCTACAGCGACGAAATGACTCTGGAGAATTGCTGCGTTTTCGTTTTTGCTGACAGCAGTTTTGCGAATGGCGAAAATTTGAAGTCCCAGTGCGGCTTCATCACTGGTCTTTCTGTTTCTGCACTGGAGGATGGATCCTCCTGCCCCATCATGATCCTAGAGACGTATTCAGGTAGCATCAAAAGAGTTTGCCGCAGTACTCTGGCTGCTGAATCAAATGGATTTTTGAATGGAGTTGAAGCTGGGGACTATTTGAGGACCCTGCTGATGGAGATCACGCATCCAGGTGAGAGACTTTTAGATTTAGATCTTCAGTTCGTCAAAAGCAAACTGATGTGCTTCACGGACGCCAAAAGTCTGGAACAGACGCTCAACCGTGATGCAGGTCAGCCAACTGACAAACGTGTCCGCATTCTCGTGTCACAAGTGAAAGAACTGATAGGTGAAAACACATATGAAGATGACTCTGATGCTTTTGCAATCTGGACGGACACGTCCCAAATGCTAGCTGATGTTCTCACCAAGCTTGGTTGCGAAAGGGAATCCCTTTTGCATGCGTTAGAATGTGGCCGATGGCAGTTGGAGCCCACAGAGCAGGCCAAGCTGCGCAAGGTAGAAATCAGAGCTGGCAGACATGCCAGAAAAGCTGCCAAGAGGGCAGCCAGCATTTCCAATCCTGTTGTGGCTGAGGACGGGTGTGAAACGGGAACCTCCAAACATACTACATAGCTGTTTCCTTTCTGCACCAGCCACGACAGGTCACATCATGATCAACTCATTTCCAATTCATTGCCTCGCACAGGGCGCCCTTTTCGGATCAAAAGAGCTGCTGTCTCTCAGCTTCGCCGCAAGACTGAGTTTGATTTAATATTGTCTTGGTAGTATGAATCCCCATTTCCAGTTTTTCCTGTTGTTTTGGCAGTATGAATCCCCATTTCAGGATGGTTTTTCACTATGTTAAACGATCATTTTTGATAGTCAACCCCACGGCCGAGCTGAATGGCTGAAGGTGTTGATTTTCTCTACAGGAACCAAGAAATGTGGGGAGTTCAAACTTTGGAAATCTTTGGAACAACGTTTTTTTTGGATTAGATTCCCATTAGATGGTATTCATATTCCACTAGTTGTAGCTTGTTAAACTAAATCAATTCATAATATTTAGTATTCCCATTAGATTATATCCTCATTCTCCCACCATATTATTCATGCTGGTTACATCCCTATGTTTGCTGGTGTTCCTTAAATCAATCCATTGAAACAAAATTAAAGATCCTATTCATATTCCCATCATATTCTCTTGAAATCCCAAATATGTACCCTATGGTTATTTAACGTAGCCATGGGAAATGGCCCATTGATAGATGGCGTACCTATCAAAAAGGGAGATTTTCCATGGCAAACTGTTAGTCATAACCAGATGGTATATGTCCATCAATGCGGTGAGATATTCCCATGATCTCCCCATTGTATTTCCATCAATTCATAGCGCCGAGGCTCTCCTTCTCTGTGGTTGACCTGGATGGGTCTCCATTGAGTTCTGCACCCAGGAGACAAAAAGGGTATGTTGGAAGTTCGGCAGCTGCTAATCGAATGTGGCGAACTGGAAAACCCCCGAACTAATGATCTAAATCCCCGAACTAATGATCCAAATATATCTAAATGGAGGTTGAAAGCTTGGAACATCATCAACCTAAATGGGGGATTTTCCATTTCAAACCATGTTTGACATCCTGGAGGGTAATACTTTCCCTATCAGTTTTTCACAACCTGACAGGTCACTGGAATGATGGGGCTTGGATTTGGGGAACATCTCCAAATGCCCGAACTTTTCTGGTGAATGATCATGATTTATCCAGCCATAGTTATGATAAATCATTGATAATTATGGAAACCATACATATTAATGGAAACCATACAGTATGTACCAAGGTTTTTCTATGGGGTTATCCGGCCATAACTTTGCTTTAGGATTGGATCTGTGCATTGGGAGGTCCTTTTGTGGGGCCTTATTGATGTTATTTGATGGAAATGATTAGTCTATAATGTCTATATCTAATATTATAAGGGATATTACGAATATGGGATATATACGTATCTATATATCTTATTATATATGTCTATATCTCTATCTATATGTATATACACACACACACGTTATAGTGACTAGCTTGAAGCCGCAAATTGACGAACATGGTATTGAAAAAAACTATAGCAACATCAAACAACTGTTTTTTCACTGCGAACACTATGAAACTGCTTGGTGATAAGTTGCTTATGACAAATCATATCCCAATTAGATAAGTTGTGGGTCAAATGATAAGTTGTCAACATAAATGCTGTTTATTTGAACGCCCCGTGCTGAGCAGATTTTACCGTGCAACCCCCGACATGCAACTGCTGCATGGGGTGCAGTGGCGTACGGTAAAAAAAACATGCATCATGGTCCGTCAATATATGGATAGATAGACCCAAACATAGTTCAAGATCGTTTAAAACATTGTGCTTATGTCTTAATCTACTTGTTTACCAATCTCGTTCCCCTGCCAGCGTTCTTTTTTGAAGATCCTGTGAACCTTCCAAGGTCATATCATCGTCAATGAAACTGGCTCTGGGTGGCTCGGTCACAAGAAAGCCAGCAGCTGGATGGATGGCAGATGGGTCAACACAACACCAGTTATCCACCTCAAAGTTTTCAGCTTTTAGCATGAGGGATCTGCAAACCACCAAGATCGAGAATTCGGTATTTTAATGATCCCAATTCACTTCATATGTGCGGGCTTGATGGCTCAACCACCAGCAAATCATGATAAAAAGTCTTTGCAGTTTGTCTAGTTATTGTTGCTGGCGTCAAGTTTGGGTTTTTAACCATGGTTTCCAGTGTTCAAGTAACCCAATGCTGACCGATCTTATGTGGCATCACCATTTATACCCTACTCAAATATTCCTGAGGTTACAACTTCAACATCGACATCGCACACCCGTACTTGATCCCCCACATCGACCATTGGATGCTTAGACCCTCCACCATCGAGCTTCGCAGTGGCGTTGGCTTCTAAGGCCCCAGTGTGGCATTTTCCTCCAGATGCTGGATGGCGAGCCCTTGGCTTCCATCCGTGACCTTGTTTGCACAGAGAAAACCGATTGATCCGATTGGTGATATTTATCGTAGTCTATAGTTTCTCCAGGAAAGAAAGACTCCGCAAACCATGGTGCGTGTGAAGTGTTTTTGTTTGGGGGGGTGGAGTTTCCATATCCCAAAAAGCTCCGCAACCGCGACCTGCCGAGGCACAGATATGCTCCACTCGTGGCCGGGGCGTTTGCCAGAGATGTGCTATGCCTCTGGAGAGGCGAGACCCCGAAAGCGCCAAAAAGGGACCCAGGATCAAAAGCACGGGTGAACGTAGCCAAAAGTAGTGTTTAAACTTAAACTGTTTAAACATCATGTGCAACATGCGTTTTAAAGATCCTGCATATTCCTACATGAATTGTTGGGGGTTTAGGCACTGTCAAGCTTGGTGCCAGGTTTTTGGCCGAGTAGCCAAGGGTGATGGCCAGCAGCCCAGATGCGCGCTGTAGCCACAAATGGGTACCTTGTGTGGTTGAAATCCAATAGGAAAATGCACTACGGATCACTGACTTGTCACTGACCCAAAAAATGTTGATGCTTCATTATTCACGAAAGGTAGCCTCCCAACGGGCTACCTTGAGTTTTACTTTGCGAAGCTAAGGGGTGGGCTGGACCCCTTATCCCTGAACGACCAGGAGAAATGGACTCCCCCTCCCTCCCCTCCCTCCCCTCCCCCCCCTCCTCCCCTCCCCAGATCATATCGTACCTTCCTTCAATTTGGACCGCGGATGATTTTCTGAATGGCTCAACATCGTCATCATCATCATCGTCGTCGTCGTCATCATCATCAACATCATCATCAACATCATCATCATCATCATCATCATCATCGTCGTCGTCATCATCATCGTCGTCATACGTTTACCCAAGCGCTCGGTTGCTTATGATTTTTTAATGTTTATGATGTTTATTTGATGATCATATGGCCCATGATACCATGTTCGGAATAACTCCCACCCATGAGAGTCTAACTTGGATGGTAACTAGGCAGCAGCTTTTTGAACCACGGCTGTATTTTTCTGGATCCCTCTGATAATCTAAGACACCAACGGATAATATTATTCATTTTCAACATGTGGATCATCTACAACAAGTGGAACAATTAGTGGATTTTTGATTGCCTTGTTATGGCATTCTGACGTTTAGCACACATGTGAGAAGGAAAAGGTCGGAGCCACTGATGATTTTGCACCATCAGGGATTTAGTGCGCCAGGGTTAGCATCGATTGAGTCAAGTGGCCCTGCATTATCATCATCATCAACATCGTCATCATCATCATCATCATCATCATCAGCACAGAGCATCGACCATCCACCCTGCCATCTTATTATCATCACTCACCTGCGTCACCTGCGACACAACTGCCTTTCGTGTCCCCCCTTCTCAAGTGGCATTTCTTGGCCTTACCTCATTCGATTGATCTTAGATTGATCTTAGCCGCCTTTGCCCCGGTGCCATGAGGGTTTCCCCATTCGCAGCCTCTCAGGTCGAGACTATGTACTGCGAGACAACGAGGATCGGATCTTGTTACGCTTGGAAGGCGGGAAGTCAGGTGCTGGGGATGTCGGACTGGGCAGGGAGACCTACTCCCGTTCTGAGGAGGCGTCATTATACGTCTCTAGACTCTAGATGTTTCTATACTTGTAGTTATGATGTTTTTTGATATATGTAGTTCTATAATTACATACATAATTATATATGTATATAACTGTATATAGTTATATTTATATTCCAGATTTAGTCTCTAGTATATAGTTATATATATATATATATATTCGAGATACTTGAGGAGTATAAATATAGCATCCCCGTCAACAGCCCCATTCTGTGCTGACTGGGGGCCGCCGGTTTTTGGTACTGAACAGGCGGTGGGAGTTTTTTTTGGTGATTTTTTAGCCCAAAACATATCCCTATTCAATCACCATGCTTCATGGTTAAAGCCACCATAAAACTTTTATCATAAAACCCATTAAGATGATTTAAGATGTCCCCATTGATACTATCATTAAAGCACGTAAATCCCACCATAAAAACTCCAGTTGCTGTTGGGCCGGGTTTTTCACCACCATTTGCTGCGCAGGCAATTTCAAGGAGAAGACGGTGAAGGCGACGAGCTGGCGCCATGGCGAGTTGTGAAACGGTGGTGATTTGTTGTTTCATGGGGATAGAGACCCTCTGAGAATCATGGTTCTATAATAACTGGTTGGTGGTTTGGAACATTTTTTGTTTTTCCATTCAGTTGGGAATAATCATCCCAACTGACGAGCATATTTTTCAGAGGGGTAGGTAGTATACCATCAACCAGATAATGATTAGTAATGGTTATTAATGGTTAGCAATGGGATAAAGGATAGCCTTTGGAGTCATGAAACGATGAAACGTGTTGTCAAAATGGCAATATGCCTTCTAAAAGAGTGTGGTTTGTTATGCGGATACTGTGGAATAGCACATGGGTATAACATTGGTAATTCAAACATGGGGGGCCGCTGGGAAATCCCCGAACTCAATGAGGATTTAAAGCTGGGAAATTCGTCGAACTAAATTGGGTTCCAGCACCCCATGTTTGATTAATTACCAGAGGTAATGGGAATGGAATGTAATGAAAAATATCACGGGAATACATGATCTTCCAATTGGCTTCAATGGATCCTTTTAATGGGAAAAGCAGCAAGAATATGGATTCAACCAACAAAATGAAGGTACAATGGGAATAACATGGGATAGATTATTTGGCGGCCTCGCATCAAGACGTAAAGGATATGAATATGATGGGAATTCTATATGCGCAACTATCCCCACGTGTCTGAGCTTTTCAGGTTTTGGATACCCTCTGGTAAACAAACATAGCTATTGAAAATGGATAAATGGTCATTTATACTTGATTTACCCATAACAAATGTGATTTTCCATAGTTATGTTAGTTTACCAGAGGGTAAAGTTTATAAATGTTGCGTTTGTAGTCATGCCTGGGATCCCGAACAATGGGGCTTGCACTTGGAAGATTCGACTTTTCCACCGCGGTTCCATGTTAAATTTGGGGATGTGACCGATGTGACCCACCATCCGGGTTCATATCCCTACAATTGTTCTATATGAATACCTTGACAATTGCCGGTTATTGAGTGTATTTTCCAGGTGTCGGTGTAGATTTTCCAACATTTGTCTCACCCAGAAGTTCCGTGCTTCGTTAATTAAGATTAAGCAAGGTTAGCCTTAAAACATTTAAGCAAGGTTAGCTTAATTAAGGATAAGCAAGGTTGCTTAAATTAAGCAAGGTTAAATTTGGATGGTGATATGTTTTGGATTTCATAGTTTTTTGCTCGGACTATATGGATTTATGTTGGGTGATCATAATTACTTTGTTGGGGTTATAGTAGTTGAGTTGCTAGCGTGTTTCATGGAAAAGATGGATTATCAGTTGGGGGACTGTTTTTCGAAATAGATGCATGGAAGTGTGTTGATTGTTTATCATATTAAAGTTTGTTTCTTTGGAAATGAGGAACATGAGAAGGTCAAGGGAATTTTTGCTAGGATGGAAGCATTGGAAAATAGTGATTGGATATGCGTGCATGCATATTGGCTCTTATCACGGAAAACAAATTATTTCTTTTTTAAATATTTTTTTTGGATTTTGAAGATATTTTTTTTATTTTTTCATTTTTTTAATGTTAAAAATTTTGTATATTTTTCAAAGTTTTAAAATTTTTATTTTTTTAAAAAAAAAATTAAAAAAAAATATATATATATAATAAGTATATATATAATTATATTTTTAAAAATTTTAAAAATTTTTCAAAATTTCAAAAAAAATAATAATTTTAAAAAGTTTATATTTTTCTTCTTTATACCACCATTTTTTTGGGGGGGGAAAAATATAGTTTGGTTTGTATCAGACCAAATGGGATTTCAATATATTTCTTGCAACATTTCAAAGCAGACTTGCATGCAATTTGTTTCCCACTGCAGCCGTTTTTGTCATTTGGTTTCTTGTCATTACAAAAAGAGCAAGCAGCCGAAGAGGACCGAAGAGCACGAGCTCGTAGCCGCTCGAGAAAGCGACAACAGAAGAAACGTGACAGAATCCACCGACGACAAGATGGACGCTATCAGAGCTTTTCCGATTCTTCTTACTCCTAGAGGCATTGCTCTAGACATGTCGAGGCTTGCCCCGACCAAACCGCAATCCCAGACGACCTGCTATGAAAACAAAAAAAGCCGCTGATCAAAAAAAATAAACAAACAAAAATTAAGCGATGTAAAAAAACAAAAACCTTGCTTAAATTTAAGCAAGGTTGCTTAAATAAGCTAACCTTGCTTAAAAAACATAACCTCTCTTAATAAAAGTCGTTAATTAAGGACTTTTACCTTAATTAAGAAAGGTTTTCTCTTAATTAACGTAAAAGTCGTTAATTAAGGAAGGTTAATAAGCAAGGTTACCTTAAATAAGCAAGGTTTCATTAATTAACGAAGCACGGAACTTCTGGGCATATTCTACCACATGTTATCACATGTTCATGTACTTAGTCCTTTCTAGGCTGGTGGCTGGTGCATGTTCATGCCGTATAATTAGATCATGTTCCCATAGTTTCTCCATTTTTTCCATATACGTTTCCATAAATTAATATGCCATTGTTGTTCCATACTTGTCCCATAGTTTTTCCGTAGTTTTTCCATGTTTTCCATACTTTTCCTAGTTGTTTTCCATACTTTTCCCATAGATTTCCAGCTTTTGTAGCCACTCCTGAGCCCTGCATCCCAACATCGCCAAGGTGCGGTGAACTGATTGCGCTCAGCGAACGCTGCATCATCAGCCTGGATGGTGGGGCCCATTACCAAGTGCGCTGTGCTGGGGGCGGCTCAGGATGGCTGGGGGTGCTTTTCGCTCAGTTTATATCACATATATATTCATATATTATATTTCAATATAACATATATTATAGAAATTATATTATATTATATATTTATAATTATATATGTTTCTTGCGATATATTAAATCATATTTAAAAGAACATGGAGATTTAACCATCTTATAGCCTAGCAGGGAATATCGATGGAAATTCCGATTTAATCTAAAGGGGATTATAAACCACCTACGAAGTGGGATGCGCATCGCTGCGAAGAACTCCGGAGTTTTTGTTCCCCTCCCCCCGATGTGTTTGAAGATTATCAAACCATGTTGTTTACCCGATTCTCTTGCGTTTGTTTGGCCTATCATCAAACACATAACATAATAGTACATAAGACAAACCGTGCCGGAATTCCGAAGTGTTTGGAGTGTTTGGTTGGCTGCATGAACTAGTTCCATGCAACCTCCATAACCGCTACGGTAGTTCATATTTAATGGGGATGGGTCAATACCATTCAATACCTATAATAAATTATGATAATTTATAATACCATATATTGGGAGGAATGAAAATCCATTTTACCAGCATTTACCAATTGTTTTGATCTTCCTAAGAGGTACCGGGGTCAAATGACCAGGTACGTGTAGCTCCTGGGGCGGATGCCGGCCTGGTACTGTGCAGGCCTGGAAGGATTGTGGATCTGTATGGATCTTTGGTTTTACTTCCGTGGATCTTAATGTTTCTATATTGATGTATAAATATGTATGTATATATATATATATATATATATATATAACGGTTCTATATTGAATCCATGAAAATAGTTTTTTGTTGTTGTTTTGCTGTGTCTTTTTGGTTCTATATTGATGTTTCGCTTTTTGGGAGATTAAAATGCTTGATTCGTGGCCATTGTTTTGCTGGTGTTGCTGTTATTGGAGGACCTAGCTGAGACCCCATGAATAGCATTTTTCCACGCAAAACCCCATGCAATTTTTGGGCGTTAAGGATGCTGATTTTCTTGGGAAAAGTTTGCATATACAAGGGTTAGCCGGTTAGCCCCATGTTACTTATAAGACGGAGAAGCGGTGTCAAATACAGATTTCCAGTCAAGTCCCAGTTACCAACCAGCATATCTCCATGTCTATTTGGTAGGGGCACCATCAAAAATGCTTGTCCTGCCTATTGGCTCATTCCATGGGCCACCCAGTTTGCTTGCGATGGACAAGATCGAGGGTGGCGGACGCTCAACCTCACCATAGGCCTTCATTCAGCTCGCGGCGGAGCTGATGAGGGGATGGTACCCTGAAACAGAGAAGATCTTTGGAATTTTCGCATGTTTGGGTAAATATCACATTATATCAGCAGATATTTGTGATTTTGAATTGCGATCTTGGATTGCAGAACCATTTTCATATTGCAAACTTGGTAAAGTATGAGTTATGGGGGTCAATTGGCTGCGTTCTCTCGGGCAGATTGATATCAGAGGCCGGCCAAAATGATTTGAGAAATTTTGAGATACAATAATTTCGGAATTTCTATCCTGAACCTTCACTACCCACTTCGATGCAGTGTTTGATTCAATGATGGCAGGCCCCAAAGAAAAACATGAAAAACGCCCCAAAGCTTAGAGATGACTATTGGGTCCCCAAGCCGGCTCAGAGCTGAAACTGGGTCCGTTGAAATACTATGATGGAGACACCTGATTGGCAGCAAAACATTGGACTGTCTTCCATGATGTCACTAGAGTCACTAAACTGACAAAGGATGGATTGATGATTCTTGGCCAATGAACTCGGGACATCCATAGGAAAAGAGGGAGCGTAAGACCCATCGATTCAGGGATCAACGGGGACCATCTTCAGATGAAATTTGTCAATGTCTACAGCAAATCATCAGAAACCAAAGGGTATCATTTTGGCTCTGTCCAGATATATATATATATAGTATAAACATGTATTTCCCTATATATATATATTATATATATATATATATAAAAAAACATATGTATATTATAGTAGTTGTGGAAACCATGTATAACAACCACAATTGAAATGGTGAATCCGTGTGGCTGCTGATATTCCCGCGAGGCCTCAAGAGACCTCTTCGTGTCATCTCACATGCTACAGCTGATGGAAGAAACGCTGCATCACTGAGACTCGGAGTTGTTTTTGGGAAGATGTTGAAGAAAGATCATGCAGATGTTTGAAACTATGGATGATCATGGATGATCAGTGGCTTTCCTGCTATTCTCAGGGTCCCCATGTCCCATGCTAGAAAGAAAGGACCTGACCTGGTCAGATCTGGCTTATGAACGCCAAGTCTAAGGAATCCCCAGCCGTCCTAGCAGGGCACTCTGGTTTCCCATGACACTGGAGTTTTTGTTTAAGACCTGAAACTGACATGAACTGAAGAGAAAAGAGCCGTTCATTCATTTCATATCACATATATATATATATCTATACATATATATATATATATACATATATATATATGTGTGTGTGTGTTACATATACTATCACATCTTTGGAATTATTCGGATTTCAATTAAGATCAATCAATGGATATCCCCGAAGACGGAGAGCAGTTGCATCACATCTTCGTTTTTCTCCATCAACGGCCGCACTGGGTGCACATCCGCAGAGGGGGTGAGTTGTGATGTTCAACTCCGTTGGATTTGGGAGGCGATCCATGGCCCATTCTTTTGAGACAAAGCCATGCATGTTTTTTCTGATCCAGAATGGGAACATAATACACCATGATATACCATATATCAATAGGGAATATAGAATATAACATATAACTATGAATGAATATACCATCTATATTGATGTTTTTTTGGCGACGCATTGGGAATATACAATTTGGTAGAAATTGTTTGTCTTGAAACGGGTACTTGAGGAATTGCTCCCTTCCGTCATGGCTTGGAAATTCCCGATACCCCAGGAACTGCACCTAGTTGCACAGGGAATTGGTCAAAGAAACTGTCCAGTGCATGATGGAATCAAGCTACGCACAAGAAAAACCTTTGTTTCTTTTGGGGTCAACACGGCACAAGTGTGAAAAGTTGTTAACCAAATTTAGGAAGGAACTTAACACAACATAACACAACTAATGAGCTAAACCCAATAATAAACCATGCCATTAACCAACCATTTGGGGGTCATTTTATATACTTCAAGCGGGGTGTATCACGGCATACCTAATGATAAACCTCTATTGGGGATGGTATACTATTTGGTTTACCACGTTACTAAGGGTTGATGGATTGATGTTCTGCCATCAAGAGCAACGATATCCAGCTGCAAGGGAGAGATAACCAGATAGACATATTCCATGCCACTCTGGTTCCCAGTTTGCGCTTGAACATGCAAGTTCCTCTCAAATGGCTCATGTGGATTCATATGGCAGACATAACATACGGATATACATCTTAATTGAAACTACATTAGATTCCTCCTGTTGTTGTTCGGCGAACAGGGCCAACTGCCATGAAATGTTCGCCCCTGGACAGTTGAAATCAGCATGCGCCAATTTCAAATGCCTTGGAATTCAGCCGAGCACGGGGGTTCAGGCACAAACAGCTCGCAGCCTTCGATCAAACAGTAGATGGTGTGCAGGAGAGGAATAAATAAGAATAAATATCGTCAAGTCAAGGAGGCAGAGTGCTGCATCCAAGAATTACTTTCCCAACTTTTCCCTCGACAGAACCGACCGCGCCCAATTCATGGGATGCCCATGCCCCAGCATTGCCAGCTGGCTCCCTTCGCGGTGGCCAACATGGTCCTTTCTGTGCGAAGTGAGCAGCTGGCGACTCTTGTAAAGGTCAAGGCTTTCGAATGGGCCATCCGTATAAAAATGGCCTGGCTGTAGGGTGATTTGTTCATCTGCCCATGGGAAATCCATGATTGTTCATGTGTTGCTTCTCCCCCTCTGATTGTCGGTGCAGTGATAGTTTTTTTGGTTGTTGGGCCCTGCCGTTCCCTCCTGGTTTAGTGTCAGTGCTGAGGAATCGAATTTGGTTGATGTGTTTGAGTGCAAGTTGTGGACAACTGGCTAAAGTGACCGGTGAATAGAAACTGGACGGACCAGTTTGTGACCACGAAATTAGTTTTTGGTTCTATGTTGTTTTATGTGTTTTTTGTTTAGCCATCCCTCCTAACTAGGAAAACCGTGCAGAGTATTTGATATTGACTCGATTGGACATGTTAATTCACGTGTACCGGGTTCAAGTGGAAGGTTCTCGTTTTTCCAAATTTCGGAGGCACCAAAACTCTAGGACTCGTCGGCTGCAGAGGTTTTGGTGATTGAAATGCCTCCGTAGATGTTTTTTTCCCACTAGTTGGTGGATTAATGAAAGGTTTCCCCCACCCAACAACAGGTAGATGATTGCACATATGCCAAACCGCTGATCTGTCCCAAAAGGACATGGCTGCAACATTACACTAAGTTTCTCAGCTTGGGAAGAACATCAGGAGCCTTTCTGCCAGATCCAAATTATTGCTGTACTTCCTCCGAAGAAGCCCTTGTTCACACCCCAAACGCTCAGGATTTTCCCCGACTTGACAGGGGAACTCAACTTGAAAGCTCCAAGAAATTGGCGGTAAGCACCTGTCAACACCATGAAAAACCACCAGTCAGTTTCCTCCAGACCCTGGAAAACTTGTCTCTACGCTGGATTTTGGCCCAATCAGCTGAACGTTCAGAAGCCGCCCCTCGCTGGGCGGCGACGCTTGCTCCGGTGGACTTCGATTGTCCAGATGTCCTAGCAGAGGTGCTGATGAAATGATTGGACAAGAAAGGAGCTACCCTCTGGCAACTCAACATGTGGGAAATCAATGGAAATCATCTTTCCAATAGGTAAATGAATAAGTAAATCGGTAAATCATCTAAATATTAAATATCTAAATCATGTATAAATGGCGCATTTTCCATGGCTAGTATGTCAAATTAGGGGAGGGTATTACTGTAATGGTTTGTTTGCACATGTCGGATTTTCCAGGATAAATTTCGATGATCCAAAAGCTGATGTTTCCTATTAAGAAGCCATAGATAGTCTATCGCCAAAATTGATGGACAAATCATTTTGATTATTTGATTATCTTAAATGCACCCCAGTAGAGGGCATACAAAATTCTACAACCCACCTTCCCGGAAACCTTTCGAACACCTCTTTCCTTACTCCATTCAATATAAGATATAAAATATTTATATTTATTGTATATAGACAATTCTATAGACATATCATATACATATTTAACTCATTATATATATATATACGTTGGCATATTATATACACACACGTGCGGCTTATAGAAATATGTCGCGCATCCCGATCCAAAGTCAGCAGGTGATGCGAGGAAGTTGCAGCTATTTGCCACCACTTCCAGTTGGCCCACTGGAATCACTGGAAGCTGGGACGGCCGGAGGTGGATTCCCTCCAAGCTCGAGATCTCATTTTTGTTTGTTACCCTCTGGTTATGTCAAAAATAGCTATTGAAAATGGCCATTTATAGTGGATTTTCCCATTAAAAATGGTGATTTTCCATAGCTATGTTAAATTACCAGAGGGTAATCGTAAAAAGCTGATGTTGGTAGAAGGAGTCCATTTATGCTTGGTGATCATTGTCCTATCATGTCTTGCGTGGACTTTTTGGTGAACAAGATTGATATGTGTGAAGCGCATAATGTCAACTCCGGATTAATAAACCATGGTTTATTAATTGTGGGGGTACCCTCCAAATAGTCACAATATGATACATCCAAATGGTAACCCCCCAATTAAACAGCCGTTTGGGGTTTATCAAGCCAGGGTTGGTCAGTTCCCGGGCCCACCGGCAGGTGGAAGTGGCGTGGACCGAAAAGGCAAATCGGCAGATCTGAGAATAGAGGGGGTCCCAATGACGTACTCGAAATCGTTTGTTTTTGTATGTTTAATTATTCAGTATGATTCAACTGCCATTATCAGGTAAAAAGCCATAGGGTATTTCTTTCATGTGTACAATTATTGCCGTAAAAATAGCCCTTACATAGACTTTATATATGGTATGGTACCTGCAATTTAAATGCCTGAAATGGCCACTGCATTATGTCAATGTCAATGTTTGATGATCTTCGATTTCAAGAAACACAACAGCAGACTACCTCGAGATTATATTGTGGCAAATTGAATCATACGCCATCCCCAAAAAAAGGTGCTAACATTCATCCCCAGGAGTTTTATCATTGGTTTACCAGTTTACCACAGTGCACGTGTATAGAT